GTATCCCTATTCATTCATTAAGGTAAAATAAAAAGTAAATAAAGAACCCACATTTTAGGTAAAAATCCTTTAATTGAACAAAAACAAAAAAAAAGACACAAAAACAAAAGTTTTTGACAAGTCCTTTAATAAAAAATCCCAAAAATTTATAAAATGAATCCACGGAGGTATTCCAAGGGTCAATCATGACATTGACTCGTCGTCGAAATAAAAAAAAAACCCAGACGCCCGCGACGAACTCCCACTGCAGAATGAAAGTTTGACAGATGCCGGCCAAATGTAAACAGATAGGCAGAGCTAGTGATGACATCACAGCTGGCTACGCCCATCAGTTTACATTTTGCCGACATCTGTCAAATCGCTATTGCAGGTGTCGGCAAAATGAAAACAAATAGGCAGAGTCGGCCGTGACGCCACAGCTTGCTCCGCCTATTTGCTGTCATTCAATGACAGGCTACTGTCCCTCCATGGACCATTTTTCAACATGATGGAATTATTCCATCACTGGTCTTTAAGTATTTGAAAGATTTTGACGGAATAATTCCTTTATCAGTCGGGAAGGGGTTAACAGACATTCCAGGTTTTATTTATGAATGAAGTCATGTTGGTTACATTTCCATATTTAATATTTACGTCAGACATGTACAAGGAGTTTCTCCAGAATATAAAACTCATAGAGCTGTGGGCATTTATCTCTAGACGGATACACCAGATGTTTCAGATCAACTATATACTATAGCAATCTGCGATACCTACACATGTGGACACCAAGCACCATGCTGTAAAGTGGCCTTTCAAACATTGAGACCCGAGATATCCTTGGGGAGCAAAATTATATTTGGCTGGAGTATAAATTGTTCGAGAACATATTTGTAGAAATGTGGTGATGTTTACTTATATTGAGACTAAAGCCAGGTACACACAGTTCCAAATTCGCACAGTGGAGTGCCCCTGTGAGTACCCTTGCTCCTGGCATCCTTCCATCAGCTAATCGAAGGAGCTGGTTGGAAAATTCTGGACAGAAACTAGATGCCAATCAGCTTCTAGTTCCATTTTAGTATTCTGAGTACAATGCAAAGAGCAGAGGATTCATCCTTTCACACTTGTAGGCGTTGATGGAAGAATTGGTTATATTTTCTTCATTTAGAAAATATGAACGTCTATCCCTGGCTTAACTGGACACATCTTCTATGCCAGGGGTAAGCAAACTCAGGCCCTCCAGGAGTGGTGAAACTACAAATCCCATCATGCATTTCCCTTTGGAAGTCATGCCTGTAGCTGTCAGACTCTTGCAATGCCTAATGGGATTTGTAGTTCCAGTAAAGCTGAAGAGCTGGAGTTTCTCTACCCCGGTCTATACTAGGGCTGCAACTAATGATTATTTTCAAAATTGATTGGTTGACCGATTCTTTTTTCCTTTAATTGGAAAAATAAATAAAATACCATCCTTAATTTAAAATACACAAATGCTGTGTTACAAATATAAAAGCTTAATTCAGAATAAAACTGCATGCACTATTTTTTGCAATCACACTGCACTGGAACGCATGCCATTGCGGTACCGCGCATTCCAGTGTGATCGATCACAATGCGGGTGGGAGGCGCCTTTGGAATAAATGCCACAGCAATGCACCTCCCGCAGCCGACTTTGTTAGATTGAAACCTAAAATTACTTTTTTTCCCACCATTTTAATTTAAAAAATGTTTTAAAAAATTGTATTATAAGCACATAGCGCTTGAATTGCTTCAGGCAATGACGGCTGCTGGCGGCAAGGTTCCACAGACAGTAGCTGAATGTAAATACAGCAGAAAGTGGGCTGGTGCAATAGACAGCCTGCTATTGGCCAATGCCATTTGAAATAGCCGCAGGCTGGCTATTGCGGGGCAGGGGGTTGCAAAGTCACAGCGGTGTTGACTGACGGCCGGTCTCTTCTCCCTGCTGAGTGCCGGGTGGAGCAAGCTGTGTCCCCTCCGATCCCTGCTGCCTCTGCCAATACAAGTGGGGAAAAGCAGCAGGGATCGGAGGGGACACAAACCGCAGCATGCAGCGGGCTCTCAGTGGGGAGGAGAGAGCTGCAGAGCGGAAAGGGGGGTGTTTAGAGGGAGGTTTGGGCGAATTCTCCTCACCGCTGGGCACTGGCTGCAGGGGGGACACTGATTGGAGGGGACACAAAGCCGATGAAACACCGTCTCCCAACATGGAGGAGAGAACTAGGGGATCCAACCAACTAATAGATAATGAGGATAGTTGACAGCAATTCTCATTGTCGATTAATCAATTAGTTGATTGCAGCCCTCCTCTATACTCATATAGTCCTTTCTTGCAGATTTTATTCCCCTCACAGCTATCATTGTGATAGAACTTGATGTTAACTGCTACTATAACAGGCAATATGCACAACGTTTGAGCATTCAACACTTGGGGAAGAAAAACAAAAGAAAATCATAAGCTTTCCCAAAACTGTCTCCAACACTAAAGCACCCCACAGCACTCCTCCCTCCCTCTAACGTGAACCTAACTGCTAAAAAAGTAAGTACATCTGTGCACCAAGTTCTTTAATCAAACAGAGAACACTACTACCGTACTACCCCCTGATGAGTACATGTGGAACTGTAGAATACACATACATTTTATCCGTTTTGCTAAGCAATTGTTTCTGTAACGGTATTTGTATTAGCAAAACGATCAATGGATTTTCAAGCACTCCAAGTAAAACCCAAATTGGTACCCAGGAGTGAAAATGTGTATAAAACACACAACAGACTTACCTCAAACTCCTTAATGAAATACCGTGTTTCCCCATGGATGATCGGCCGGTGATCCAACAGTCTAGAATGGATCTCTCCAACATCTGTAAAATGAAAGCATTCATTAATAAATGGCATATTAAAGGGTCATCAATCGGTTTTTCCAGTCCTAAAGGCTCATGAACTGGAGCATACAACTTGCTGGGTACAGATCCACAATGTATATGGATCTGAATGCAGCAGTATTGTATGCTAAATTAAACAAACAATAAAAAAAGTACATAGGTGCAACAAATAAGCCACCAGAATATATATAGAATATAGTAATCGAACTGAAGAGGTCTTCAGTTTGAGCTCAGTGTGTCTTTAATGCGCAAAGTAATTGCGTCCTTCTTCTCTCCATTAGTATTGCATGTTATGAGCTCATGTACACTGCTCCGTTTTGATCTGAAGAGTTTAGCTGCATAAACACTACAAGTGCTTGTGGTCCTGCAGATGGATCACATTTTATAATGTGCATATGTAATGTTCGGCACAACATGTAAATATCAACAATGTGTAGGCCGCTGCTGATTATGCACTATTGCCGTTTACATCTCCATCTAAATTAGTCATTCAAGCGGTGGTGGCGCATACACAGAAGGACCTCAGCCTTTAGGCTGGGTTCACACCTGGGCATTTTTCAACGCTGATCGAAGCGCTGAAAAACGCTCAGCAGGTGAAATCCCATAAATCCCTATGGGCATGGTTCCCACCTGGGCGTATTTCAGCGCCCTACGCCCAAACAAATATAGGAGCTTCTTTGGGGCGTTTTTCCGCACGTATCCATTGGTATTCCCGAGTATGGCTCAGGGGGTTAACAAAGCGGTAACCTCGAGCCACACACGGGAATACAGCGTAGGACTTACCTTGTACGCGATCCCCGCTGAGTCCACCGACCGCTGCCGACTTCCTGGTTCCCTCCCTTGCGAGCGGCCGCGTCGCAGTGGGGCAAAATCGGCGGGAAGTTTGAAGTTTAAAAAAAGAAACCCGAAAAAAAGATAGAGAAAATAAAAGGAAAAAAATAAATCATACTGCCAGGGAGGTATAAAAAAGCTGAGCGAAAAAACGAGCTGAAAAAACGCGCCTATGGTACGCCCAGGTGTGAACCCAGCCTTAGTATTCAGAATCAGCCAAGGTCATTGTGTTCAGACACCAATGCCATATGAACGACTCATACAGGGGAAGAAATAAACATCAATAGTGTGTAATCAGCAGTACCATGTTTCCCCGAAAATAAGACACTGTCTTATATTTTTTGTTCAACGAAAAAAGACACTAGGTCTTATTTTCGGAGGATGTCTTATTTTTACGTGGCTGCAACTGTCCGCTCTCCACTCTGATGCCGTCCACTTCGACCCCACTGGCTATGCCGTGCTGTGCCTGCTGGGAAATGTAGTCTTCAGCGGCAGCCGAGGCAGACAGGTGGGTGTGCGTGCGATATGTGCAGCTACCCAGAAAGTAAGACCTAGCGCTATCTTCAGGGATTTCTGTAATATAAGAACTACCACCGAACTAGGTCTTATTTTCGGAGTAGGTCTTATATTACAGAAATCCCTGAAGATAGCGCTAGGTCTTACTTTCGGGGTAGGTCTTACTTTCGGGAAACACGGCAGCAGTGCCACTGGCTACATATTGTTGGTATTCATGTCGGCTTTGAGCAGAGACAGGGGACAATAGGGATCCATGTACTCTGCACACATGTAAACATTAGTACAAACATTACATGCGCACAGCATATGGACAACTTTTTACACAGGATCTTGCTACACTTCTGCACAGGGACATTAACAGAAAGCATTTAAAGGAGAACTATGGGGTAAGTGTTTTTCCCCATAGTTCTCTAAAGGATCACGGGAGGACACAAACTAGCGCCCTTCCGTGACCCAAAGCTCAGTATATTGCAAACTACAGCTCGCTGTATACGGAGACCGCCAGAGCCGGGACAGATCCCAACAATGCTGCCGAAATCCACCCAGCTGCGTGAGTGACCGCTGGCTCTGCCTATCTAGAGGCAGAGCCAGCTATACTCACCCCACCCCCGTACGGTCCTCAGTCAGCGCTGGAGGATTGGAGGGGGGACTGACAGTCGCTGCTCTCTGCAGGGAGATGATCAAGAAGTGAGCGAGCAATGGTATGCTTTCGCTCACTTCCCGATTTATAGAGCTGACCTGTGACAGTTTCATTGTCACACTTCGGCTCGAACTATGAGGATGAGTGATTTTCACTCACCTCATTGTTCTCCTTTAAGTTATCTACCATTACAGGGGTGTGGAATTCCTATCGCCCGACGCCTGGGACATGCAGTTTCGGGCGCCGGGCGAGTAGTTTTTTTGTACACTTAGCCCCGCTCCGGACAAGCAGAGCCAAGTGTACAGTGTGGAGCCGCCGCTCGTTTTCAAGTTATCTGATCACTTGTATGTCATTATTTGCCGCCCGGTTTTGATTGGCCAGGAAGCTGGCTCGATGCTGTTTGGCTTGGAAGCCGGTTTCCCGGCCTTTCACAATCAAGCCAGCCAACGCTCACCAAAGCAGACATTTACACAACGCCAAAGTGTGAACTTATTGGGAGAGAAAGTCATGAGGAATAAAAAATGTTACAAATTGCCAATGTAAAAAGGAAGAGGGGAAGTATTCCAATGGGGACACCCACTCCAGTCACCACGATCTTTAAGCCAATCTCTCCTCACTTTGAAGAAATCTCCTCTCACTTCCTGTTGTATCTCAGACAAAAAGTAAAGCAAAATCTCCCCAGGGTACAGCAATAAAAACTGACAGGAGATTTAACCCTTGTACACTCTATTCAGAACCCTTTAATTACAATATATATATATATATATTACTAACACACACTCAGGATAAACAGCACTGTCCCATGGGGTGGACATGTTTAGGTGTATCCTAATCCTAAAATCTGACTCCATCAACAATGTCTCATACCGTCCCCAGTCATTAAATCCCCCTTGCTCCCCGTTAGTCATACCCTTAATGATAAGTTGGCTTGCTGGTCCTACAGCATTGACGTTCTCCCTGAGTTTCGGGCTCACTGTGACAGGAGAAGCAGCAGGTTTGGCAGGAGAGGTACTACTCATCTTCCTGGAGACCGCTGACCAGCATGTCACATGACCCCCGTCACCGGACCCCGCATTCACCGAGCACGGGATCTCTCCACCAGAGCTGTGAGCTGTAAAACACAGATCGTGATTGGATACGTGCTGGGGGCGTGCCTAGGCAACCGCTGCGCCTGATTGGTGCACTGACATGGCACGCCTCCATGTCTTTCAGGAAGTGCTGCGTTCTATAGATTTCATATATAGTAAAAGCCAGTATAGAGTAGACTCATTATAGACTTACAGGGGATGATAGAGTGTGTGTATGACAGCTCGTTAGTTTATGCTGAGTAAATACCACAGCAGTGTTTTATATCGTTATTAAATCATTTTACATTTTATAAAGAAAACAAACAGTAAACAAAATAGTGTATGTAACCCTTGAGGTGCTAATGTAATAGTACTCAGGGCAGCCATCAGAAATTTCGGGGCCCCCTACACGGCTTTAGGCCGCCCCACCCATGGGAGAGGTGGGGAGGAGGGGCGGCATGTGGCATGAAGCGTGCGGCGTGTGTGGAGCCACGAACAGGGGCAACTAATCGAAAGCCGACTAATCGATAATGGAAAATGTTGACAATATTTTCCATCTCGACCGGTGTTCTGTCGAGAATTCCGACGTAATCGAATTTGCCAACCTCGGCATTTGCGCTTGTGCACAGACCAGTATGATCGAGGAAACAGGGATCTGTCTGTGTGCAAACGCAGATACTGGGTTGGTGTTCTCGACAGAACACAGGCACTAAATTTTTTTACTGAAGTGGCTGCCTGAGGTCCCACGCTTGCTGGGGACCCTAGTAGTTCCACCAGTGCTGTAGTCCTGTATAGCTGGTGGTATTCTGCATTCCTGTATAATCATTATACAGGAATGCAGAATACCACCAGCTATACATTTTACATAAAGTCAGCAATACTGACAGCTCTACGGTCTCCCAACCCCCCCCTCACCATCCATAGACCCCAATGGCTCACCAAACTCCTGCAGAACATCTTTCTCCTGAGACCTTGCTGGCCGGTGGAGGGCAGGAGCGCAGGAGAGGGTCCTCACCAGGGGCATAACTAGAAATCCCAGGGCCCCATAGCAAAATTTTGTAAGCCCCCCACAACGAAACCCGCCCCCATTTTAATAGAAATGCGCTGATCAGCACGTTTGAGCGTTTTTAATTGCGTTTCAGCTCTGAAACGTGACTAAAAACACCCAAAAATGCTCTTTCAAAAATCATGCAGAAACCACGGTGAAACGCTTCTGCCCTGGTGTGAATGGCGCCTGAATGAGGCCAGACATTTCCCTTTTGAAATAGAAAAAGACATTGAGTCCTCAATGTCTTTTTCTGCAGCCTCAGCACAGCACAGCATTTACAAACTGCTGATAGTAAGATATTTACTATAGAGCAGATTCTCAATGGGGAGGAGCCTCTGTACTGAGTGCTTCTCCCCATTGAGAAATTCATGAATGAACAGGAGGTGATGTAAATCACCTCCTGTTCATTTATAACTGGGGACACATAGTAGTATGTGTCCCCAGTTATTTACAAACACTGGAGTGATCAGATGATCACTCCAGTGTTTGTGCTGCACACGGAGGATCGATAAATATCAATGATACTTACCGATCCTCCGCTCGGCCACGCACACAGCGGCTGTCATCCTGAAACTGACAGGAGTCCATTTTTTTCAGATCCCCGCTGCCTCAGCCCATACAAGTGGGGGAGAGCAGCGGGGATCCGCCCCCCCCCCCCCCCCGGGCGCGCGGGGTGGGGGCGGGGGGGGGGGA